AAGCTGGTGCGACCTAAGATCAGCTGGTGGAACATTGCCTGTCGAATTGCCCATTCAACTTCGCACTGGTCCGCCCGGAGTGGTTTTGAAAATTGTGTAACATTTTGTAGCCCTTCTGTGCTCTTCTCACGTCCCAATTTCATGATTTGTATGTGTGAGAAACGTCTTTAGGATCCATTGAGTTTATGGGGTGATTGGTGCTGGTCAGATTCTTTTAGGATAGAACATGTGTTGGAGTCACGGTGTCGGTGTCTATCGGTGTCTTGTGTCGGGAGGCTTGTCGGTGACTTTGCCTGGACAGTTTTTTTTTTTGCGGAGTTCTTGTACCGTACCCTTTTGTTTCTCAGCCGACCTTCAGCCCACTAACGCATTTTTTCCAATTTAAGGAGCGGTGCGGGTTTGAGTTAGTGGCCGTTGGCCGTCTGTGTCGGGATGGGTTTCTTACCTGTGGTTTGTTGGCTACCTGGGCGTGTATCAAGACTTTGCCTGAACGGTTTTCTCGGCTGCTTAAGTGTTTTTTCCTGCATGCCAATCAAGATCACAGATCGACGAGTGTGTTATTTCTGTTGAAGCTGAGGATTGGTCAATTGAGTTTGAATGTTGATTGGGATGAATAGTTTCTTCACGGCTAGTTTTGCACCCAGCTACAGTCCCAAACCATTCGTCTCGCCCTCTCTAGACTCTAGTGTTGCAAGTCTTCAAGTCGTTGAGGTCAGTGCCTTGCAGTTTGGGATCTCAGGAACAAAGTACGGTTTGTGCAAATCGTATCAAAGCTGTGCAAATGAATGCAACTGTTGCAGCGTAATGATGTTCCACAGTTCCTGAAACATTGTAATATGCATCGGCTCCTTGCGTCTCCCCCTTGCACATGGTGAAAGAAATCGTGCATAGGAAACCTGCGTGTGGGATTCACGCAGCGAAAGCGGTTAAGAACGTCTCGAGAATCCCCGAGAGCCTGAGAGATCTGAGCATTCCGCGGGTTTCCGCGGTCAAAGCCACACGAGTCACACGAGGTATCGAGAACCTTTCACCAGCCTGTCCGGGGACCGCGGCATGTCCTTGGCGGAGGCAAGCGGTCGAGGATCTTCGACAGAACTTGACAGAACCCTCAATTCTCAGCGCCAAACCACGCTGTTTTCAAGTGAAGACCCTGCAGTGATTGCTGATAACGCGACCTATTCTTTCTGCAGGGTGGACTAGAAACAGCGGATGGTTTTTGATGGTTTCACACAAGAGCGAAGCAACAGCAGCTTCAGCGACGGCGTTCCAATCCCTTGCTGCAGGCCAATCAGGCTGTGTTGGGAAGCCAAGTGCCAGAGTACTGTCAGTTGAGCCATGATAGTTATATGTAGGAATGTTTGCCCGGCGCAACCTTTGGAACTTGCGGGAAAAGAGGTCCACTGAGCCATGGAAATGGATGCAAAGATATAAATGACATTTAAATGACATTTCAACATAGTTCAACCTTCTGATATCCTCTGAATACAGTATCTTCGAATGCTCGATAGGCGTTTCATTGGCCCCACAACGTCAAGCTTTGCCACCAAGGCGCTGGGCAAAGTGGCAGCTATCCCCTGAAGGTGCGTCTAGCTTTGACTGCTGAATTGAAAGCAGGCCGCGGCATGCGGCACCATATCGAATTTAATCAAGCAATGCGACGCAGGTTCAGACCACTTGGCACTGCTTTCTGCCAGCAAAGGCTTTGAGGCGCGACAAAGTTTGACAAAGCGTAGAGTGCCAAGTTTCGCCCCGGGCCAGGAACAACAGAATATATTCATTGGGACCTACTTTGAAAGGAATGGAGAAGAATCAGTCTTTTTGACCTATATGCTACTCGAAGACGAACAATGCTCAGTCAACGAGCTGAAAGGATTGCGTTTGAGTGACGCAAGTGCATTGAAGTGCAATGAATTATTGATGATATTTAGACGATTTCAGAGTAGCTCTTTAGAGATGCAAAAACTGTGAACCCATTTTAATTGAATTCGATCGTCACCTCGTGTGCATGGCCCTCTTTGGAACGTGACGCAGTGGCACACTGGACTCACAGCCGGTCTCTCAATGTTTCTCCGTGATGCCCTTGCCCAGGCAGCCCGCTCCAGGGGCGGAAATGCAGCCCGTCAATTTTGCGAGGCAGAAGTTGGATAAGTTGGGTAAGTTGGATAAGTTGATATTTTTTTGGCGAAAGGCTATTAAAGACTTGCATGTTTGATCGGATTTCGCCGAAAGCCTCACAAGATGCCAAGCTTTAGCGGCATGCCAAATTCGCGGCCCCCGCAGCCATGCAGCGTCACATTGTACAGCTTGGGTGTTTAGCAAGAGCTGTCACAGCTGTTACACGAATTCCTCATGAACCAAACGCTCTCAACCAGCTTGTGCGGATGTAAATCAATATCCAAGTGTTATATTTTGTTGGGGTACAGACTAGGAACCCTGTGTCATTCTACATGGTTTAAACCATAGTGTTCTTGGACAAGGTTTCAATGGCGGTCCAACTTAAACCGTATCCTAAAAGCGGTTTTCAACTGCGGTTGGCCCAGCATTCACTTCTTCGCCCTGGGCTCAATTCTTCGATGATATATTCCCTCAAATGTACGATGATGATTTTACATGAGTTTACAATATGTTACAGGATGTTACAGGTATTTTATGTGGTCTTCTCACTTTTTTTGAGCATGACTTGACTTTCGACTTCAGTACCTATATGCATTATATGCCTAAGGTGTTTCTAAGATTATTCTCCCTTGCTGAAGCCAGTTTGAAGAGCGTGTAGGCAGCAGACGGTGGCAGCTACTGCGATGCTGTTTGATTGAAAGATCGCCAAACTACTGCGGCTCGCTGCGACTCGCGCTTGGCCGTGCCCATGCTCCAGGCAAGAATGGTACTGTAGCAGTTGTTCCACAGTGCGACTTGGGTCACCATTTGCGTCCTTTGCATTTGTTGTGTTCAATTTCGTTCTTTATGTTTTCTTTGGTTTGCCACGCTTGCATGATATGTGATAGCATCTGATAGTTGGGTTCTCATCCGGATGCAGTTTGCAGATGTGTGAACTTTTCTCGTCAAAGGAGTTGTGTCGTGTTGTGTGATAGTAATTATTTGTATGATACGCTTTCGACATGAAGTAAGCCAGAGATGTCACAAACAAAGCAACGCCCCTGAGATCTACAAAAATGCTGCGATCACCCACGCTGCTTCGCTGCAGTATATGTTTGTGTGACCTGCCGCCTTGCATGTGGACATGTGTTGCAAACCTGACACGGACGCCAAAGAGTGGTGAGGCCAGCATTTCGACAACCATTGGAGACTCCGATAAACCCAAACGATTTTGGTAGCACCCGTTGGGTTTAAAACCCAACAAATGCATACAAATGCTTTGTTTCAAACAAACCGCTTGATTGATTTCAACCTTTCCAGAGATTTTAGCAACATCAACAATGCATAGTTTTTGGCATCTCAGGTCTCAAAAGAGTCCCTGGAAATCCGTCAGATGGAGCTGGATTGGTATACCAGGCCATCAACTTGCAAGCGCCGTTGGTGTTCCAGCCATTGTCGGACAACCACGACTGATAAGATCTGATAAGCATTGCCGATCCCCTGCTCTTTTGCTTTGCAGAGAAGTTGCAGAAGCGACTGCTTTTTACAGCGTCTTTTTATATCTTTTTATAGTTTTTTGGAACACACGTGTCCCAGTTGGAAAGTCGATCAGGACCACCAGAGTGCCTTGCCTTGTTGCGTGGCCTGCAGGAACTATGATGCTATGGCCAGGCAAGCCGCGATGTTTGCAGGTTTTGCCTTCGAACAGATCACGGAACCAGTACCAGCATCGACGCCGTTCCTGTTGGAGGCGACTGGCAATGACTGGCATGTTGTGCTCAGCGGATCATAGCAACAGCATCAATTCCCAATGTATTGAAATGTGTCATGAATCATACGAATCTACCTCAATATAATTTTTAGCCGGCATTGACTCACTTGACGTAAGTACAGAGGCAGTATAAGGTGTTATCAAGAGTTATAAAGATATATAAAGCGAATGCTTTACAAAGTTACACAGGTATTGAATCTTTCTCGAGATTCTCTTGTCGTGTTGCGTCCACCTGTATGAAAGCGACTTGATGTTTAAGATGTTGGCCCTTCAGGTTGTTTGGTTCAACCCATTCGATTCCAATCCTTTTCAATCCTGGAAGTCACTCCAATGACTCCAATCCATTTTCAATCCATTGAATCCGTTGAATCCATTCATTGAATCCATTCATTGGTTTTTCAATCCATTGGAGTGGCCATGTGGCCATGCCTTTCTCATGGTTTCTCCATGCCGTAGATGGCGTACATCTGCCTGACGGCCTTGGCGCTGGGCTTCAATCTGTGCGTCCATTGCTCAGGCCACAGCAACGACGAGCAATGAATGGTCACTCGATACTTTCATCGTTCAACATCTTTCATCATCTTTCAACATGTTCAATAGCAATAGTCATCATTAGTCATCATTAGTCATCGATACTTCATGAGATCAAAATGTCAATAGTCTCGATCAACACCCAGAGAGATGGGGAGAGGGCATCAGACTTGCGACCAGGAGGACACATTCTTTTTGACTCAGCGTTGGCGAATTTCCACCGCTTACATTGGCAAAACTTCAATCATTCTTGAATCACTTAGAGAGGAACCTCAGTTTCTCTTTGATTTAGGCATGTGTTGCCAAAGTTAACTACATCCAAACTATGTAAGGATATGTGCAGTTCTCTGACAAGTCAAGCTGGAGATCCTTAAAGTTCAAAACAAGAAACTGGATGAAACTGGCCCAGTCCAGCCTAAGGTTTGCATGTCTTCAACTTTCTGCGTCATTTTCGGCCACCTGCCTCCAGAATTCAGCGTTATTTTTGCGGTAAGTTCATCTAGAAAGTGTAGCTTGCACGCCAAAGACCAGATTTGACCAGATACAAGTACTGCAATGAAGATAAGACTAGACTGACAAAACTGTAAAACTGAGAGGGACTGATAAAATATCGCTACGTGTGTGTGTGTAGTGGATTCCCATGGGTTGCGATGGTGGTTTTGAATCATATTGGATGATTATGGTGTTATTGATCTTGTATGTTATTGTGAACCATGTAGAACCATGTGAAATCTGTGCAACCGGTAAGTCCTGTTGAACTTCGTCCAGGACGTCGGTTGGGCCTTTTTGGGTGCGGCGCGCGCTCAGTCCATCTCGCAGTTGAGAATATGCACAAGGACCTGTCATGACCTTTCCATGCCGCGCCGGAAGCGACGGAAGACGGGATAGGGTAGGGATAGGACATCGAAGAAAATGAACCCATCTGCAAGTGCTGCTCAATATCATTCAAAATGCTCAGAACTCCTGTTTCCTGGAGATAAAAAAGGGGGTAACGATCGCGAATTGTCGTGCGTCAGTGAAACATAGTGAAACACATGTACAATGTGTTGCTTGAGTTGCCTGCTTGAAACCTTCCAGAGATGTTTTGAGATGCTTCGTGATTTTCAGTCAGAGCACCTCTTGTTTTCAGGCCCAGCAGTTCACCTTTCTACAGCCTTAGCCCAAGAACCGGGATGAGATGGTGAGATTCATGGAAGCTTTCAGCGGCCAGAATGTTGTATTATATATATATATACATACTTATATATATATATATGTTACTATCAGATGCTACCATTCAGTTCAATGGTTATTTGCAGATGAACATCCTCCTAGTTTGAACATGTTTCAACATTACATTGCTGTACATCGCCGCCTATGGCAGTAACAGCGCATCCTTTGCGGTTTTGCTGTGAGGTTTTTGTTGGGGCTGCTGTCGTACTTGATGGCACACGTCTTTGCGTCTTAGCAGCAATACTGTCAATTCTTGGCAGCAATGCTGGCAATACTGGTAATTCCAATAAGACTCAATATTGTCAATAAGCAATTCTTGATAATTCTTGTATCAATGAGTGGAATATAGTGGAATGGGTATGGAACGGGTCGATTTCCAGCAAGACTGTCCTGCCGCCTTTGATCACTTCGATCTCCAGGAAACCTGGATCTACTTCCGAAGGAATGTGGCTCTCGTGTTGCTCAGCACTGAATTTATTTACTTATATTATACTATATGAATTAATATATATATAATATTACTGAATTAGAGTTTAACTCTAATTAATGGATGTGTATTGAATCTTGATTTGAAACTATTTGGCAAAGCTTCAGAACGAGAGCAGCACAAGAGCCTGCGATGCCTCTGTCTTGCAATGGATTCACAGCAGCGATTCAATTGTGTGGATACTGGACATGTCAAGGCTTTGTATTCCTCTCTCTGTCTTCGTCCTTGCTATCATCTACTATGCCGCTTGGACTTGACACCTGTGTTCGAACGCACAAGTTGGCTCTTGCAAGTCTCAGATAGTTTCACTATGATGTTTCTGAGCATTTCCATACGCTGAGATGTGTGGAGGTTGCAAAGGCTTCGCACTATGACTGGGCAGTCTGTATTACATTCCACATCGCATCCTGAACATTCCTGAAGGTTGTGACCATTGTTGATCAATTAGTTCTCCCAGATGACAAGGTGCGATACCTCGCAAAAGGGAACACATGTGGCAAGCGTGTACTTCGGGTCTTTCCTGAAGATAGCATTTAAACTTGTAGTCAAATCGTGTCTCAGAATGCACCATTCTCTCTTGGGGCGGCTTTTTAAACAATCCGCAGACATCTTTTGGCAAAGAACTTGTTTGTGGTTTTAATATGTTTTAACATGTTTTGATCTCCCCGCAGGCAGTCTTTGGGCATGTTGTGGCCAGGGACCAAGGTGTTTCATCATTTTCCTCAGAGTAGACTTGAGTTTCGGTGTGTTGCTTCTGCAGCTGTGGCACCATGCTGCACCTTCCAAATTGCGCCAGTAGTTCGAACATTATGGAGACCTTCACCATCATGAATTAGGATCTTCGAATTTCAATAGAAGGGACAAGGAAGGACATGGAAGGACAAGGAAGGACAAGGGACGGGCATGGACAGGTCACCCGAATGCGCAACAGAAAGCTTGAGGCCTGGAGCCGCTATGAAAATCTGAATGACTTGGATGCCGAAGCCTATCGGTACGAGAAGGCGTGAAGTGAGCCTGATCCTGACATATCCTGATATATTCCTGACCATTCTTGAAGATACCTCTTAGTGTCATGTAGTCCAGTCCTGCATCCCTCTCTTGTTCTGCGTTACACTGTGTTCTGATACACTGATACACGTCCAAGACCTGCTCATTACACCACGATGTTGCCATGCTGTTCAGTCGCGCCCCTCGAAGTGCTCAAGCGCGGTGAGCGGTGCCAAAGATGCCCTTGTCGGAGCCGCGAGAGCAACCCACATTGGAACAATGGAACAGTCGAAGAGTCGAAGAATAGTCGAAGATGTTGAGGGCTCATCAAAGAGTCAAAGATTTTGAGACATAGCATGTTGTCACAGATCCTCGGTCATGAAACCAAGAGGCTTCATTCCTCATCAACCAACGGCGTTTTGCAGACTCTTCAGACGTTCTGCTCAACCCTTGATGCCAGAGATGGTGGAATCTTTGCTGCCAACAGGGCATGGCAGAGCCCCATCTTAAAGATCAGAGCCAAAGCATCTTCTGATTCTGAGCGTCATGGTTTACATGTAAGCCCTTAGAGGCCCTTCTGTGTTTCTTGTTTATGTGAGTGAAAGGGGCAGCGGCAGTGCCGTGAACACTCTGAGAATCACCGAGCTTTAAGATCAGATGTTTATTTGCAGCAGGCTTGGCTGAAAACAGCCATACAGCTTGCGATTGTTCCCTGACTTCTCCAGGGTTACGTGGAGGATCGAAAATCATTTGTCAAAGTTTAAAAGATCTTGCACATATGTTTGTATTGTCGTCGATGCTTTCTACATCTTTCTACCAATGATGTCTAATAATGTCCCAACCCTTGAGCTGATGGAATGCAATTGGCAGAAACCCTCAGGTCAATTGCTTGTCCTATCGGCTCATGCAAAATCTGCAACAGTGGGGCTTCCTAGCCTCGCTCATGTGAATTTGAAGCGTTAGTGTCACATGAAAAAAGTTTTTCTGAGAAACACAAGCCATGGACGTATTCCTTTGACTGAGGACCTCGGCCAAGCTTCGAAGTGAACTTCGGTGCAGCTCGACCAACAGCCCGGCGCAGCCTTTCTTGGTGCTGCATGGTGCTGCCTTCCCTCGTTTTCTTGTTCGTACAGAACATCGAACACTACCATCTATCCAAGCTTGCTCTGGAGCAACTCAAGTTTGCAGCTGAGCTGCTCCAAAATCTCTCTGATTGGCCAAGGCCGGTCCTTGTGGTCTGTTGGTGCGAATTGCGTGGTAGCTTAGACAAACCAAAAGTGACAAAGCCACAGCATGCTAAAGCCATCTAAAGCCAATGTGGCAAAGCTAGAAACTCCATCCATACTCAGACAGTCTCCCGACAGCGCACCACCAAGCTTGCTTCCCCTTCTGCCACGTACCGCCGCATACCTTTAGTTTGTTCAACTATGACGCACGGTTCAAAGTTGTTGAAACCAAGATTTTCTGCACTTCTCTACCATCGGATTATATCGGATTCCTGAATTGTTATACGGTTCATAATTTTTCGCAGGACTTCTTTGTGCCCCTTTCATGCGATCAGCAAAGGCAATGGAAGCGACTCGGCCTTGGTCCTGGCCGCTGTTTGCGCAGGCTGCGCATGCACTGAAGCACCAAATTTCCAACAGTTCTGCAGAGAGAAACAGAATGGCCGCTGCTGACCAAGTCAAAATCTGAAGCTGCGTCGCGACTGGGGATGGCAATCAGCTGCCCCGGAGGTTTGTTCCCCAACTTGGCATTCCGCCCTGTGAAAGGAAAGTCATGAGCTGAGTTACGGTATGAAAGAATCTTGTAGTATCAGTACAGACTGGCACATTTAAATCTATCTATCGATCTAATCTAATCTATTTCATTCCATTCCACTCCATTCCATCTATCCATCTATCCATCTATCCATCTATCCATCCATCCATCTATCCAGCTATCTATCTATCTATCGATCGATCTATCGATCTATCCATCTATCCATCTATCCATCTATCCATCTATCCAGCTATCCAGCTATCCAGCTATCTATCGATCCATCCATCCATCCATGCATCTATCTATCTATCTACCTACCTATCTATCTATCTACCTACCTACCTATCTATCTTTCTATCTATCTATCTATCTATCTTTCTATCTATCTATCTATCTATCTATCTGGGGGACCATCTATCTATCTATCTATCTATCTATCTAGAGTTCTAGAGGTGTTTTAAAAGGGTGGTACCTTAAAATGGATGGTTTATAATGGAACATGCTTTTAAACTTGATGATATGGGGGTACCCCATTTTAGGAAACTTCCATATAGTGTATATATATATATACATACACATAGTATTGATGATATATACTAATATCATATCGTTGAAATTTAAAAACAAGGCATTGGCACTTGCAAGGCGTGGCATTTGTTGGCCCAGGCTGAAGGTCAACCATGGCCGCCTGGAGGCCCTGCAACCTGACGGCATTTCAGGCACCAGAAATATATCTGGAACTCATTGGATTTGATGCTCCATGGCCTTGTGGGATGCTGGCCCAAGCTTCTCAGGGCAATTTCCAGTGGATTCAACTCAAAACCTGCACTTGTCAGTAATTAGGCAATATCAAAATAACATTTCGATACATTTCGTCCTTTTCCCGCAAGGCGACTTGTGACACTTTCCCTTTTTTACTTGAATCTGGCCCTCCGTTGTTTTCCTTGCTGGCTAGATTTGTGTTTGGTTTTGTTCAAAAAGACCTTGTTGGATGCCACAAGAATTTCTAAGTTGTAAGAGTTGCATGAGGGAAAAGGATGTTGATTAATGATTAAATGATTAGATTAATGTTGATTTGAACCCCAGGCTTCAGAGTTCAGGGCAAAGCTGGGGGCATTTGAGGCCACATCCATCCAGCGCAGCCTCATTCTTGGGGGGCAAAGACATTTGGGACAGTCATTGCCTTAGAATGCCTTAGGGGCAACGTTGTCATTACTCATCCTATGAAAATTGTTTCAGGTTTGATCCTGATTCAATTTCTATGCCACAGTCACTGCCAAAGACAGCTTGCGAATTAGGCAATTAAATTTGGACAGGTTTCAAGATCTATGCAGTGTAGTGTTTGGGCACTGAGCACGGGCAGGTTTGGTTGAAGCAGCGTAAAGGTATGAAGTAAGGAACAGCAAATGCATCCAGACATGGTCGGTGAAGAACAAGTGCTGGCCACCAACCGCTGCAGCCAAGCGCGGTGCACAGGTCACGGGGCCGCTGCAGCAACAGGCTCGGGCGACTGTCGAGCCTTTCAAACCGACACTCGCGGGCCAACGCGTTGCTAGACAAACTTCAACATAATAGACATTAATAGACAAACAGACAACTACTATCAGTTGAGCTCAACTGATTTTGTCACGGTGTGTTACATTTTGCTTCAACGATATTTTGTTTTTTCCATTAGGGTTCCACGGCAGCGGGCCAAAGGCGACGCCTGGCTTTGCTTCAACGAATTAAGTCAGGTAGAGGAGCGAAGCGTAAAGCGCACAAAGATCCTCATCATTCAGCTTCAAAAAGGTTGCTGCACTGAAGCATCATCGTCATCATCATCATCATCATCATCCCTGTCCAGTGATTTTCATGGGAAAGGTTTTGAGCCACCAACATATCAGGAGTATTACTCGCTTTCCGGAGTCTCGCCGGCCATGAGCAGCGCAGGCAGCTCAGGAGACAAACGTTAGACATGAGTTCAGTGGAGATTCCATCGATGTCAGAAACCTGATCTCAACGATCTCAACGATCTCAACGATCTCAACGCTCTTAATCGATATGGATCTCAACACCGAAATGTCCCAAGTCGATATGGCCAAGGTCCTCTTGCTGCTCTGTGGAGAGGGAGAGCTGCGCTTGAGGAATCCCGGTCAGAGTGCGTTTCTAAGTGCCCAAACTTGCCCCGGCATTCCACAATTTCACTGGTAGAGCGGTAGAGGTCAGGCTAGTTTGCTTGAGAATTCAGCAAGATCTCCAAACGCTGCAATACTTACACGCAGTAACTCTTAGCTTTTACAGTTTGACCATGTTTTACCACTGTAGGTGCCATTGGTCAAAGCGAAGATGGCGAAGATGGCGAAGATGAAGAGGCTTGGTACCGATGGTGTTTTCGTTCTGGGCGATGGCCTCGCACCTCGATGCACCTTGCACCACTGTTTGCCAAAGCGTTTTCGTTATGTCTTGCACTTCGCATGTCCGTCTCAACATTGTCATACACATTTCTACACAGGGGGTGGTCATCATTGCAGTTTATTGTTTCCTTCGACGACCTTTCATTCATTTGAAGATTCCAGGGGTGATTTTCATCGCGCAGGGTCCAGCAGCTGTCAGTGGCACTACGATGTCTCGCTGGCAAAGGGCTGAGACGGGGGAGAGATTGGCTTCACAGCCTTCTACGTCATCATTGCGCTGCATCTCCAGACTTGTGCATGAAAGGCATGGTGGTGCAGGGGACGTGGTTACTCACACTGGGGGGGAATTCTGCTTCACGCGCATCTTTCTGAGGTGGTCGGCACAACTGGGCGTGTCTGCGCCAGAAGAGGAGCACTTTTGGAGATTTGCATCAAGAAAAAATTTTGTACGTGTTTGCATGTGAGATTCTTTTGTTATCGGTTGCTTGGTTTCTTGCGGATCTTTGGCCGTGCAGATTCGCCCTGCTGCTTGGTTTCCAACAGGAGCACGTTGCAGTTTCTCTGCGAGAGTGTGAAACATGGGTGGTGCCTCTCCTGAATACTTTGGATGCCACGGGTTGCAACTTGAAGCCCAGAATTGAGCCGTTTGATCTTACTTTGATTCCATTGAAATGGTTTCCTTTGCATTGTAGACTGGCTTCCAAGGAGTTTCGCATGCAGCGAGAAACTGCTCGACGGATTCAAGGGCGTGCTTTCTCAGACCAGATTAATCGAGCAAACACCAGCCTCATTACATTCACAACAATCATAAGTGACAGTAGATACATGTAGATACAGTACATACAGCAAGTTAGTTGAGGTTAGTTGAGTTGATGTTCGTTGAGTTCATGGGGGCAGAGTAGTCTCAGGCTCCGAGAGATGCTACGGCTCCTCTTCCGTTTATTTTGCTGCAGCCTCATTTCCGATTTGAAGGTATGTAAAAGGATTGGAAAGGATTGGAAAGGTGCATTTTCTTCCTCAATGCTTGCGCAGGCAGTGACATAACCCGCTTTGCAGAGATCACTGGTGAGGGAGAGGCCGGAAGAGTTTGAATGCGAGGCTCAATGGGCTTTGCTGAAAACCACCAAGCGTGGCCAAGGTTGGCGCAGCTGTTTTGGAACTTGCGGTCTTGCCCTCACTGTTCCACTGACAATG